ATGAAATTCACCTTAAGATCCATTTTAATGTTATAAAAAAATTATTATATTCATTCCACTAAAATAATTGCAAAGCACAAGAGAAAATTAAAAATAAATTTCTAAAAAAACAATAGGAAAGAAATAAAATTTGCATCTTATATATATTTATTTGATTCAATTATCATTTTTTATTTCGCTTTGTTTTATAATCTTCTTTAAATCTATTTGTATCCAGATGCCAACCTTTTTACCATTCATATATTCTCCATAGTCAAGTATTTAACTACTATTCCTAAAACGATCGTTTATCTCTTTCCAAATACCATTTTTAATCCCATTACCTTTCTCATCATATGATCCTCCACCACTTTATATTTTTAATCAATATTTTAACATAAATTTAAAGTTCCAATCATATTTAAAATAAATATCCCATCTACCAACTTTTCGACCATTTTTAAATTCACCTTAAAAATAAACTTGCGACTCATCTTTGAATTTCTCCCACAATTAAATTTATCTTCCAATCTTAATTCCATCGCCTCCTTCATCATACAATTCAGCTCCTCTATTAGGTATAATTTTAAATAATATCATTTTTACATATATATAAATTGTTCCTTGCCTTTCTCCCTATGTTTAATTACCCATTTACCAACTTTCTTGCCATTTTTATATTCACCACTATATATGACTTACTAATATAAACTAAACCCATCTATTAGCTCAATCCATTTTCCAACCTTAATTGAATCTTTTTCATCGTAATATCCTTCAGCACTAATGCATTTTTTGCATCATAATTTTACATCTTTTTATTGCCTAACCAATTCCAATAACTCTCCCATCTACCAACTTTTCTATCATTTTTATAATCACCCTTATAGGTTAATTTTGAATCATTTTCAAATCCATCACTTATCTCAATCCATCTTCCAATCTTAGTACCATCCCCTGTCTAATCATATAATCCTCCACCACTTAAAATATGAATAATATTTTTAACATCTGTTAAAATTGGTCATAATTGGTCTCTTGATACCATATATCCCATCGACTAACTTTTTTATCATTTTTATATTCTCCTTTATAAATAACTTTAGAATTAATGTTAAATCCATCACTCAATTCAGTCCAGCTCCCAAATTTAAATGAGCCTTTTTCATCATAGTATCCTCCACCCCTAATGTTTATATTATTCTTATTATTACAATTATTCATATTTTGAGAATAAATCAGTCCTCTTAAACAAAATGTCCCATCTACCAACTTTTTTATCATTCTTATATTGACCACTATAAATGACTTGTGAATCCCACCAAAATCCATCTCTCAATTCAATCCATTTATCAATCTTAATCCCATAATTTTCTTCATCATATAATCCGCCACCACTAAAAATTTAATTATTTCTAATAATGTTTTACATATATTCATAATACTAAATATTCCATTTTCCTACTTTTTAACCAACTTTATATTAACCATGATAAAGCACTAAAGATCTATTCAATTAATCTTCATTCGATTCAATCCATCTTCCAATCTTAATTGAGCCAATTTAATCATATATTCCTCCACCACTAAAAATTAACTTTTATTAATAGTTTTACATTTTTTTGAATCGTTGATTTTTATTCCACCTATATAAAATATTCCACATACCAATTTTTTACCATTTTTATATTCACCTACATAAATGACTTATGATTCATTCATAAAACCATCACTTAATTCATTCCATTTACCATTCTTCTATCCATTCTCATCATACCATCCACCAGATCTTAATAAAAAAGATATAATATACATCTTTTAATTATCATGGAGATATATCCATTGCCCATATTTTTTATCATTATAGTATTCTCCTATTTCATATACTTGATATCTATTATTTCTATTTTTTAATTAATATATACCTCCAATAATTCATAGTTAATTCACACCATTAGCCTTACTTTAATCCATATCGATAGTACCCACCAACTAGACTAAGAACTTCTTCCTTCCAAACAGCTGTCCATTTACCAGCTTTCAGCTAATTTTAGTCATATTTACCTCGCCAATATTGATTATTGATTTATTCCTTATTAGTTAAGAGTTCAAAATCCTTAGAGGAGTCTTAAATTTATTCACTTGCATATTTATTATAGATCATTTACATTCTTAGAATGACTCCATCCTATGAATAAATGATCTTATTATCTTAAGTAATTGAGACGAGAATATTAGCTTTAAAAAGTTTCAAAAGCATTTAATCCAATTATTTATCTTCATAATTTTTGGTTCCATACTTTTTTATCATTGACTTTAACAAAATCGAATTGTTTTAAGTAGCTGAGTTCATCTTTTAAAAATAAAAATTATAAAGCTTCTTTTTAGCAAATTATTAGATATTTAAGCGGAATAAGTATTATGTAGAATCATTATTAAATATATTATAATTGGTGAACTTTTTCTGTGAAAATAAAGCTTTAAATTGATTATAACTAATCAGCTATTTGGAGAGAGTCATTTATTCAAAAAAGATCAGTAATTTAACTTTCCTTCCTGATTCAATTTTTATATAGTCTGAAGGCCTCTTATATAAACTTTTAAAGGTCATTCTATGCTGCTCTATAATTCTGATCGAAATCTTATTTTACAGGTAGTTTTGATAGCACAATTAATGTTTGGGGTGAAAACAGAATAAAAATTAAGTCATCATGCTAAAATTATCTAAGGAATTAGGATTATAGAAAATTATAGTAGTTAATTTTTATACATGATAATTAAAAGAGATATACAATTCAATCACGATAAACATGGATTCCCATTTTGTCTAAATTATATTAGTTTCTTTATCTTCTAAAGATGAGAGAGTTAATTTATTTATGAAGTAAATGATAATGATGAAAAATTTATAAAAAAGAAATATAATAGATATAAATAAAGGTATTTGTGGATTGCCATGAATTCTATCCTTTTTAAATTATCTAAAGGAAAATAACTTTTCGTTAAAAAGTAGAGTTATCATATAAATAAGAAAAAATAAATCTACAATTTTGTAGCTAAATAATTAATTTTGATTATTATTTTATTTTTGATTAAGAAGGAACAATAATTATTAATAATTGATTATTTTATAATAAAGATTATTCGATATTGGACTCAGAGAATTTTTAAAATCAGTCTGAAATAAAGGTTAATTCGATTTATTACCTTTAACTGAGTATCAAACGAAAATAAATTAACTTTCATTAAATTAAGACGTTGAATTAATAGATTGAACATTAATCTTTTGGTTTAAGTGAAACATTTATTTTTCAACCTATGAATAAAATAAGTTTCAACTTCTCTCTTATATATTATTATTTTCTTATCATTAGAAGAGTATCCTTTAGAATGGTCTCCGGTTAAGATAACTTTACTTAGTAAATACTCATCAATCATCACCATTAATATATACTTTTTTAGCATAATTAAGAATGAAATTAATATACTCTTTAGATGCTTTTCTTTTTTCCCTCTATTATATATTACACTGATAGCATAACATCTAACAAATGTCTAAATTTACAAGAATTGAAATCGCTGGTTTCCTTTTATTTGTAAAAAAATGCTGTTCTTCTACTATTTTTCATTTAAATATATTTGATTCTTCTAAATAAGCTAATCCACCAATGCAACATGTCTATTCCTTATGATTATTGTAATTTCATTTCATCTTACTTGGAAAACTAGCCTTATTGCTATTAAGTATCTCTTAAATGATTTATATCTTACTTCTCCTTCTCGTTGTTCTTCTAAGTTCTCATTAGTTTAAAATGAAGCCTAAGTTAAATCATCTATAAAACCTTTTAAAACATTCTATTCATTTTTTTGAAATTAAATTAAAAGATCATCCTTCAGACAATAATATATTTACAATTTAATCATTATTTAACATTCAAATTTTTTGTTTAAACTTTTCTTTATTTAGCTTCTAAGTTCTTTCCTTCTTCTTATTATTTAAATAATTCTTGTTAGTTCTTTTTGTACTTTTATCCATTTCAAAAAAAAGATTTATGTCTGCGAAAAAAATTTAACATTCTTTAATTCTATATTAGGCCTAACAAACAAGCTTTCGAATATTTCTTCTTAAATCGCTTTATATGAAAACTAATAGAGGATTTGAGTGATTTGATTTATCAAATAGTATTAAAGATTTATTATAAATTTTGTTATATGGTGAATAAAATATAAGTTATATCTTGAACTTTTAGATGAAATAAAAGAGAGTATTGGAGGTACATTTGTGTGATTTCAATTTTGAAAGGGGTATATATTAGGAATTTTCAAAAAAATTGAACTTTGCTCATCAAATATTATTACATTAATTAATTTATATTTATAAAAATGATAATCAAAATAACTTTTATTTACCATACAATTTTATTTAATTTTAAACTAATTCTTATTTTCTTGTAAGGTTTTTAATTGAAAATTATATTCAATTATTTCATATTTAAATGTTAGATATGTAATTTCTCTTTTTTATAATTTGAATTAAATGGAACTTAGTTCCTCAGTATAATAGCAATTGATTTTGAGTATAGTTAATTTGATAATATTATGTAATGGTTAGTAATATTGATAATGAATTCCATTGTAGCATATTTCTATGATACAAAATTATATTAATTGTTGAATGACATAGTAATGTAAATAAGAATTATAGGGGGTTGTAATAGAAATAGCAGAAAATTTAAATCATATTATATAATTTGAAGAAGGCCATGATCATTAATAATATCAAAATATTAATATTGGGAAATGGATGTTTTATGTTTAATAGTATTAATATCATTACCATTTATTTTATTCATGATATTATGGTAAAAGTTGAAGTATAAATAGTAAAATTACGTAAATTAATAAATATTAGATGATCTTATAAAAAAAGCAAAAGTGATTAATCAATATGAAAATTTATAAGGTGATTAAGAATGTGGAATTTGTTTATAAGTATATAGTAGAAATGAAGAATAATTAATTCTGCCTCGTAATTAATCACATCATTTTCATTTGTATTGTATAAAGACTTGTTTGATGTTGAATTTTAGTTGTCCTAAATGTAGATCAAAGATTAGTGATTTTAGAAATTCTTAATAAACAAGTATTCTATGATATTTTTATTTATCTTATGATAATGTCATAATGTGGCTGATGAAATCTTTCTTTCTTTTTATTCTTCTATCAATTTCATTAAATGATACATTGATTTCTGTGGATCAAGTCCCTTTGGACACGTAAAAGAACACATACCAATATTTTAACAATCCTTTATCTTTACATCCTCAGCTAAATGCATATATAATTATTATTATACCCAATTTTTCTAATCTTTCATCTGTATATTCATCTCTTGAATCTACAATCCATCTGTAGGCTTACATAAGAACAGCTGGACCAAGATATCTATCTGGATGCCACCAATATGAAGGACAAGAAGTTGAACAACATGCACACAATACACATTCATAAAGTCCATCCAATAACTTTCTATCTTCAACTGATTAGATGTATTCCTTATTTCCTTCCTAAAAAGATAAAATTAGATTCTCATACTTTTGGAGTCTTTCTTTTCAAATAGGGATCAATAGTTTTATATTGAGTATAAAAGTTGGTCATATCAACAACAAGATCTTTTACTACACACATATGACTTAATGGAGTGATATAAGCTGGTTAAGTTAAATCAGTATATTGCATGGATACATGCCAACTTATGAAGACCATTGCAATTCATAGAACAAGATCCACAGATACCCTCTCTGCATGAACGACGTAAAGAGAGAGATGAATCATAATTGTCTTTGATGTACAAGAATGCATCCAAATGCATAGGGGGTATCTTCTTCAAGTCAACATAGTAACTCACATATTTTGGAAAATCATTCTCATACAAATATCAATATATTAATTTCTACAGCTGGATCATATCTATAAATTAAAAATTGCTTCATTTTAGACTTCTCTATAGCTGTGAGTTGGCATTTCATACATTTTTTTATTTTATGACTTTATTTTTGTTAAATAATATATAATTATTTTTAGAAAAAGATTTCCTCATTAATTCTTTACAAATTTCTTATAAAAAAATATGAATTTAATTCTGCATTACAAATGTATTAAAACTTTGATTTATTCAAAATGATTATTTATTTAGTAAAGAGCTTTTTCTTGAAGTTTAAGTTCTTGGTGATAAAGGAGTATTCGCAATGAATGATCCTCTTTAAGTATCCTTTTTTGGAAGAAACATTTATTACATAAAATTATATATATAAATAATTTGTAAATATTTTATAAATATATAAAATTGTTATATTAAATTCAATATTATTATTATATAAAAGTTTTAAGAATTTACACGAAATCAAATGAAAAAAAATTATAAATTCTATAACAATGAATCTTATTTAAGGAAATAGAAAT